GGGACTGCGGAGCAGTGCGGGATTGTCGCAGATGCTGCCCTGCCGCGCGCACGAACGAAACAGTATTTAAACAATATTTATAGTGAAATTATAGAGTATAAAGACTGCATCGAATCGCCGCGTATAGTTGGGTATAATCAACAATATAAATTTCTTAAATTTTATTTAAATAAATAATGGAAAGGTGGTAAAAATGTTTAAATTGTGATATTACTAATTTTATAGCTAATTTATTTATTGTTAAATCAAAAGAAAAGTTTACGAAATTTTACTAAATTTATACCAAAAGAGTGTACTGACTCGATCATAAGTGTCGTTTTAGGGACATAACTTTTACTTATTTTAACATATTCCGCAAGAATTTCTATGAAATAAAAAAAAATACATTTTTCGCCTTTGATATTATTAAACAGGATTTGTATGGCGAGGGACCAGAAACTTGTTCTCCTGTTTGTTAATAAACAATATTTTACAATATTATTAATAAACAATATTTCATTATTTTGCAGTTAAGCCACCTTAATTATTTTGTTGTCAATGATTTAACATATATATAATAAAATTGGAAGATAAAATGCCCTTATCTTCACTAAATGCCTCACAGAAAAAAGCTTGAAGAAATAAGTTTATAAAAACAAGGAAGTTTTATTGCGTACTTTAAAATAATTTGCAATTTTAAAAATTACATACCCTAAATTACCTTCTTGTAATAACTTTTACGTCAAATTTCAGGTTCACCGATGTCTTATTGAGAATTTGTATGTAATAACTGAATAACAATATATACGCGAGTAAGAGATGAAGGAGAAAAATATTGTTATAAATATTATTATACATCAAAAATTAATGTTCTGCTTTTGCTTTATATGTTCCAGGTTTATGTATTATAAATCCTATGTTAAATCTGTTTAAAATATAACTACTATGTAGATTAATTATAATAGCTACTGCTATTGTGTATTAGAATTTTTCTTTAATAAAAATTGTTATTAGACATTGTACAGTAATTCTAATACTATACTGCAAACAATCACGATAATTATTAAAATATTAATTAAAAAAAAAATAAACGGGCACAGTAACAACTGTGCCGCAAACAACAACGCGTAGAACTACGTCAACTGTCACTATTTCATGTTAAAGTATTCAGCGAAGGAAAGTAGACGTAGGGCTACGTCAACTGTCACTATTATTTAGCAAAAGACGTAGACGTAGGGCTACGTCAACTGTCACTATTATTTAGCAAAAGACAGTTAACGTAGTCCTACGTCTACTTTCCTTCGCTGAATACTTGAACATGAAATAGTGACAGTTGACGTAGTTCTACGTTGTTGTTTGCGGCACAGTTGTTATACTGTGCCCGTTTATTTTTTAGTTTTCGATGATTTTTTTTTTTTTTTGAAACAATGGTAAAGTAAATAAAACAATTTTTATTAATTCTATTATATTCTTCAGTTTTTTCTACCCCTATTTCATATATAATTCTTTAAAATTTAGTTAATCAGTTCTTGAGTTATAGAAATTTTGGTAAGTTTGGCTGTTTTTTTAAACAGAAATCGGTAACCCCTTTATTATTAATACCGGTTTTAAAAAAATCGGTATTGAAAAATTAACCCCACCACCGCCATTCCCGGAAAATTCTACCCCTTTTTCATAAATAATTCTTTAAAATTCGGTTTATTAACAAATGAGTAGTTCGCGGAAAACGTTGCAAGAAAAATCGGTAACTCCTTTTGGAGACTTTATAGACTTTAGAGAGAAAATGACACTATATAAGCTATCAAATGACAACTTATTTATTACTCTACGATTATTATTTTCGAAAATATAACAAAAAACTACGCAACCGGTTTAAAAAAAATTGGTATCGAAAAATTAACCCTACCACCGCCATTCCCGGAAAATTCTACCCCTGTTTCATATATAAATCTTTAAAATTCGGTCTATTAACAAATGAGTAGTTTGCAAAAAACGTTGCAAGAAAAAACTTTCTAACGTTACTATATCTAAACGGTAAGAAATAGAGAGTTCGGACTTGTTTTATCATAAATGGGACTTCTTAAGCTTTAAAATGAGATGTCAATTATTACTCTACGATTATTAGTTTCGAAGATCTAAACGTTCAAAGTGTGACATGTTTTCGTTGCATCGTCGCGTTGCATCGTGCACCTGATATTACCCCGCCTTCCGCGGAGAAAGACGTAGTTCTACGTCAAAATTACCGATAAAGAGCTCATTCCGCAGTAGGATGAGTTTTTGAGGGAAAATGCTATATAAGATGTTTAGTTTACATCAAAATAATATACATATATAACTATATAATAATAATATATTAATGTATAAATAATAATGTATAAATATTAATGTATAAATATATTATATTTTTATTATATTACTTATTGGGCAAGTAAATCTATTTTTTCCTTTCCAATAAAAAATTAATGTAATGTTCTATAATCTATTTAGTCAGAAGCGCGCGCGTAGCATGCGCTTGTAGTGTTTTAGTCTAAATAAATTTTACATTTGTATAAATGCTTAACAGAGCCAGTCACATTTGTATCTAAAGTGTGTACGCATTTTTAGAGCGCTCTATACATTTTGTCTGAATGTAACGATAAAGTCAACGTTTACCTCTGAAGCAATATTCTGCAAATCTGAATCCCTGTTACGTTCGAACGATTTTCTCAGCGGAACGAAACTTTCCTTCTGGCGAATTTGTTTTCTTTCGTAGGTGTTAGAAACGAAAGTTGAAAGGGCAGTGGAAACCTAATGCACGTTCGAGAAAATTTCATAAACCGGTAAAAAAGAAACGCCATTTCTTTCGTGACCTGTGAGGAACATTATATTCTAATAATCAGAATAATAAAAAATATATTTTTATTGTGTAAGGTTTCAGAATATAAAAAAATATAAATTTATATTAATTCTACTTTAAAACACACACACACACACACACACACACACACGACACGCACGCGCGCACGCACGCACACACACAAGAATCAGATAAATATCTTTTATTTTAATTAAAAATGTTAATGGAGAGAATCACAGTGTACCGTGAAAAATTAATTGCAGTCTCGATCAAGGATTAAAGCATGGTATGTGGCGAACATCCATCTTTGTGTATAGCTATCGAGAATTTTTAATAAAAGTATGTCAAGACGTACAAAAAGTCCGATGCAAAATACATTTATTGCAGAATTCAGTAATTTTTCCTTCAACTGGTTTGCATTTGTTATTACGATTGAATACGATAATGTGTATTTTTGTGGCAGTTTTATCATAAACGCATTTAACGAAGAAATTCATGTCTGCAAGCCTTTAACATATCTGTTGTTTCGTGATAGATGTATGTACATATGTAACGAACGATGAATTGTTCGCATTGTTTCGACATTTGTTCTTCCATTAAAAAAAATTCAATTAACGTCATTCATATTCAAGAGAATGGGAAAGTATATTTATACTTTCAGTCACATGAGTTATTTATTTCTAAGAATAAATTTTCATTATTAGCCTCCCTCCCTTTTGAAATGACATCGATCATCGTAAATCACGATGAGTCATTTGCTGTGGTCCGATTTTCGTCTCGATTCTCTAAGGAACATTTTCTCACGTAGGTATATCCGCTGGCAAGTTTGCGTATATCTTCCGGTGACTATTTCCGCAAATATAAATGATAGCATAGGCTGTGGGATGGGGATTACGACTCATTTCAAGCGGTCGTTTCGAGAATCAGATGATATTACAAGCAAGACATGCTATTCTTGTATTATGTTACGAGGGAATATATGGCCGATCGACTGTAAATCTAGATACAAATTTAATTTATATCTAATCAATTTTTCGAAAAAAAATGCTTTATAATTATTGCTTATAAGTTTATGTAGAAATTTTTTTTTGTAATTTCGTACTTATTCTAATGCTCAATTATCGTAATTAAAAACTTGTAAAAAGTTTATTTTTGGCTCACTATGTTAAATATTTTCTTGATATTATTATATCTTCCGTTTTAATTTAATTAATTAAGAGGATAATAGAATGCATAAAATATAAAAATATTGTAAAATAAAAAATTTATCGCGTAAAATTAATCGTCTTGTTTGATATCGAATAATTGAAAAATTCAACGTATCCTCATTTTTTCAATATAAATCTTTCAAGATACATCTTTTCAATATAAAAATAGCGATCTGTGGATAAATTTACGAAAAAATTTAATATAATTTAATATAAGAGCGTGGAAAAATGCTTTTGTTCCTGTCATAATGTTATATATATATATATATATATATATATATATATATATATA